CAGCCGATTCGAGTGTTTACTTGATCCTGGCGTCGTTGGGTCCAATCCGTGAGTGTTTATGCCGAGTTGGCGCATGCTTGCACGACGCCGTGGAGCCAACTGACCGAGCCGTCGGGGTCGCCGTGGCTGCGTCGAGACCGTGTCGCCCGGACCGGTCGGATCCGGCCAGACAGCCCGACCCGTCGGGCGCGGGGGTCGGTATGTGGCCGAGTCGGCCGGGCCGGGGCAGTGCGGGCGCGGAGGCGCAAAGTGGTTCCGGTCGCCTGACCAAACGCCGGCCCATGCGCGTGTGTTTCCGGGCCACGGTGGACGGTAGCAATCGCGGGTAAAGGCCAGCCCGGCGACAGACATGTTTGGCACGAGGCCCGGCTGGCAGTTGGCGTCGGCCGGACGGAGACATGTTGCCTACCGCTGGCCCCCGGGCCTGAGTATGCCTCGACATGTAGTAGCACATGGGCCGAGGGCTCGGACAGTGACCGGCTCGTCTGAGACGGCCACAGTCGGCGAGAGCGGAATGTGTGTTGTATGAATGCATGTGCCAATGTGTGCATGTGTGTATGTGGGGAAGGGGGGGAGGGGTGGAGGGGTGTGAGTGTCTCGAGTCATGTGCCAACAAGGCGCCCGGTCTGGCCGCAAATGGGTTTATGCTTTATTCTTTCGCCAGTGCTTCGGCCGTCAGAGACGGGGGAGAGGGGAGGCAGAAGAGGAGCGGGTGGAGACGGAGAAGAAGACGAGGCGGGTCGTCGAGCCACGAATTGTGAGGCCGTCTTGGCCGGTTTGCGTAAACATGCCGTTTGCAGTGACGTTGCGCTGCTGCCCATCACTGCTGGCGTCGGCCAGCCTCACGGACACCTGTGACCCCGGCCGGTGAAGACGAGGCCACGAGGCGACAAACGGACACTTGGATGCATGCACAATGCACGATACAGTCGTCAGGCCGTTGGGCGGCAGCCTCTTGCGCCAACAACGATGTCTCCACGAGCCCTACCACCACGCCAGCCCCCGCAAGCGACCAGGCCCATTCGAGGCCGCAAAATCACAAAAGCCGCCACCGGAGTCCTGATGAGCCGACCACTTTAGGCCGAGAGCAGAATGTTTGTAGTCTCTTCAATGTAGAAAGAATGGCGTCTAGTCCCAACACCCAAGTGTCCACTCTCCAACACGGCCTGGAGTTGTCCATTTGTGTATGTGTTTGTGTGCTTGTCTGTATTTAGCTAAATGTTAATGTGGA